TGTGGGGGGGTGGGGTGGGGTGTGGGTGTGTGTGTGTGTGTGTGTGTGTGTGTGTGTGTGTGTGTGTGTGTGTGTGTGTGTGTGTGTGTGAGACACAAACAACCAACAACAACAACAAAAAACCATTTTCTCTGTTCAGCGTGCTACCAAATGGGCCATGGATTGGTACTTCCGTTTTCATTCTTCAAGTTACACCATGTCTAACTCAGGATATGTAGAGGTTGATCGTGGAATTACATCATATATAAATGAGAATTAAACCAAAATAGAGTTATGAAAATAAAAACTCCTCCAAACAGTTTGACCATGAACCTCTGAACCCACGATTGTGGGGGTTTACTGTCATGGTATTTTTCTTTTGTTTGTGGTGTTCTTTTGGGAGGCTGGACCAGATTAATGGCATTGTGCGGTGGTTGTGAAGCATTGGTCTAACATCCATTCATTCTTTTTTGTGATTTCTGTCCCTCACCTGTCACTCATGTCAACTGAGCTGTCGCTGGGCGGCTCTATGGTCAAGACAGGCAAGTGTCCTCCTGCGGCAGGCCTCCCTCGGTACTCCCCCCGACACTCTGTGCAAGGGGTACTGCTCCTCCGGCTGGCGTTGCCACCTCTCTCTGTCTCTCGGCTGTCCTCCCTCCCACTCACGCCGCCCCAGTACTCAGTATCGGAGCTGGAGGCCAGCGGCGAGGAGGGTGGGCGGGAGATTGGCGAGGACGGGAGGCAGCCGTCGTCCATGTAGAGCGTAACATCGCTGAACGAAGTGGCCGTACTGTCCTCATGCATGGCGGCGCCGGAGGGTCCCCGCCCGGCTTGGCCCACCACACGGCAGGAGGAGGAGGAGGTCCCACCCCAGGAGCATTCCCTGTAGTCTTCCTCCTCCTCCTCCTCTTCTTCCTCCTCGTCTTCCTCCTCTTCTTCTTCCTCGTCACCCTCCTCCTCTTCTCCCTCTTTTCTTGCCTCTTGGGAGTCCTCTCGACCTGATTGACAGGTGAGCGAGTCGTCCATCGAGTCTGCCAGAGACTTGACCTAATGTGACCATGCACACATGCACATGCACACACACGCACACACACACACACACACACACACACACACACACACACGGAGTCAACGCTGCCAGGGTAATTGTACTCTAAAGTAAATGTTTATTTGTTTCAAGTTAGTAGGCTAACACAGCAGCTAGCAACCTAATATACTCTATAGAAAAACACAAAATCAGATAAATTATGGCTGTATTTAAGCACTGTTTCAACGTACAGTATATAATATGTTTACATTTAGCAAGACAGCAACAGCAACCCGAGTACAAAGCAGAACTCTACATCTTGCCCTAAAATCAAGTACTATATCACATTAGACCTGCTAAAATGCTAACATGATAGCATTGGATCTGCTAGCATGTAGCAAGATAATCAAGCACCGAAAGCACTTTGGAGAACATACTATTTGCAAATCAGTAAAATGCGGACATGTTTACAGTCGGTAATATATTTAATAAGATATCAGTACAAAAAGCACATGTCACATCAGTGACATTTCTCCATCATCTTTAGTCAGGTACGATGTCCAATGATAATACAAGTGCCAACATGCACAGTTGGTAGGCTAACAAAAGCCAAGTTAGCAATATGACTATCAAAGGAACTCATGATGGATTTAGGGCCTAACGATTTTCAAAGTCTCAGATTAAAACTGAAAGTTAGAATGAAGTTTTCGATGAAGTTTTATTGTAGTTAGAGCGGGCTCATGTCATCTCAGCTGGTTTTGATGAGTCGTTACCTAGTCTTGACCTGACGGCAATATCCAACATATTTGATAATATAACAAGTCTTTCAGTCTTTGCCAAGATGTGACACAACCAACAAACGATAGATGAGCTCTAACAAAACAGGAAAGCAAGTGCCAAGAACGAAAGGGCAACACCGGCGAAAACTTGATTATTCCGGACAACGTGGAGCGTCCACATTGCTTAAAGAATTTCAGAGACTTGAAAATAGGGACCCTGCAAAATTCACAGCCTAATTTCTGAGACGAGGCTGTGACTAAAAACCCGTCTTTAAAACCCGTCTTTAAATGAGAGCAGGTATGAGATGATTGCTTTTCAAATCTCAAAGTCGTCTGATGTACAGGTTGCTCAAAAGGAACCCCGACTGTCAGCTGAACTCGTATTTTACATCGTGCCCTTGAGTCAGCAGTTTGAAATGAGATTTGATAAAATGCAAAAATGTGAATAGTTGCCCTGTGATTGGCTGCCAACCAATTCAGGGTGTGCCCCACCTGCTGCCCAAAAACAGCTGGCAGAGGCTCCAGCATGCCCGTGACCCTCGTGAGGATAAGTGAATCAGATAATACACGGTTGAATGAATATGCCAATAGTTGGTGCGCTAACATATTATACACTAAGGCAGCAGCTCGAATAGCTGTGCTCAGGCAAATCAAGATTAATTTTGCATCACTGACATTTACATTTAGTCAGGGCTTATTTCAAATGAGAATAGATTAATTGCTAAAAGTTGATACCTGCTTGGAGAAAGAGTCATCCATGTCGCCTGTGCCCTCAGACCCCTGCGGACCTGAATACCCTTGACCCTGCGGCTGACGCTCATCAAAGGAGTACTGGACACACAGAACAGGATGGCATACCAAATGTGTGTGTGTGTGTGTGTGTGTGTGTGTGTGTGTGTGTGTGTGTGCGTGTGTGTGTGTGTGTGTGTGTGTACCTGCATCCTCATGTTGGACAAAATGATGCGCCGGGTCATCCGATTCTCCGAGGCCGAGCTACGGAGCCTTTGGAAGTTCTTGTTCATGCGGTACTGCCTGAACGCCGTCTGAATGATCCTGGCCGCTCGCCTGGACACAAACTGGCCACCGTACTTCCTCTCCAGCATCTCCACCTGAGCAAGGAACAGCTAATCAGAGGCCTTTCAAACAATGTGGGCTCAAAGAGAGTCACGTGTGTGTATATATGTTTCACCTTCTTGTCTTGGAGGTCCGTGGAGAGCTCATAGCTGTCAGAAAAACCCTTGCAGCGCTTGCTCTCCTCCTCCTCTTGCTTGCGTAGTGCCAGGCTGGCAGGCTGCTGGCGACTCCGCTGAGCCCACGTCAAGCTCGACGCGCTGGGCGAAGACACGGGCGAGCTGTCCTGTTTAGCAACACCTGCCGAGTTAGGTTTGGAGCAAACAACTTCCTGATAAACAATAGGACTAGCGAGAAACTACCTGTGCGTGGGAGGCTTCCAGGGGCCCACTGGAGGTACTGGTGCTGGAGGCGTAAGGGTGGCCAAACAATGAATCTGGAAATGGGAGCGCCTCTGAACAGCGTGGCTCACCTTCCACACTGAAGACAAACACAGGAGTGGTTCATGGAATGCTAGCTCAATGCTGGCGTGAGAGATGCCATCGATAGTGTGGGTGCATGTCAGTGTCATCATTACCATCATTATTATCATTATCGTCATTATCAAAGACCCGTGAAGATGAAACAGAAGCAAACGTGGGCACTGCCAAGCGCGCGCGCACACACACACACACACACACACACACACACACACACACACACAATGTTGAGTCATGCTGAACAGCAGAGTGTGTCAATGTGGGGGTGTCTGCAGTGTGTGTGTGTGTGTGTGTGTGTGTGTGTGTGTGTGTGTGTGTGTGTGCGTGTGTGAGCATGAATGCGTGGGAACGCATGTGCATATTTGAGAGAGACCTAATGTGTGTGTGTGTGCGTGCATGCAGGCGTGCATGCGTGTGTGTGCGCGTGTGCTGTTTGACGTTTATAAAAACATGTTCATTACTTTCAATTGTTGTCAGTGTTCAGACAACAAAAATGTGGGTTTGTGTCAGAATCCTAATTGCGTTTGATGTTTACCAAAACACATATATGAGGTGCTTTGAAGTAGTATGCATTTGCATGTAGTTTTAAATATCAAATATACCAGCGAGCCCGTGCCCGTGCGCCCGGTGGGCTTGCCGCGCTCTACATTCCAACACAACAGGGACTCTGGCAAATGTGTGTCAGTCAGCCACCGCTTTGTGAGCTAAGTGTGTGTGTGTGTGTGTGTGTGTGTGTGTGCGTGCGTGCGTGTGTGTGTGTGTGCGTGTGTGTGTGTGTGTGTGTGTGCGTGCATGTACCAGTGCATATGCATGTGTGTGTGTGTGTGTGTACCCTGCAGATGGTCCACAGAAGCACTCCCTTCTATGTTCTTACGATAAAACGTAGTGTGTGTACTGCCCCTTTGAAGACTAGCAAGAGAGTGTGTGTTTGTGTGTGAGTGCGAGAGATGAGGACAAAACAGAGAAAAGCACAACAAGAGCCTATGCCCATTCATTGATGTAAGTGAAGCGAAAAATAATCCAATCGTAGGTTTTCTGGGGTTAAGCCGTCAGGTGACTGAGGTTCCCTGTGATGTTGCTACAACCTAAAGCCTCAGGGAATGGATGACATCTAGATAAAGTTCCTGGACATGCTCCAGTATGTCTAAACTCTGCTGCCAGAACCTTAACCACACATCCCCCCCAACTTCATGTGCCTTCAGTGGCCCCCCTCCATCAAGTCCCACATTGTCTTCAAACTTCTCCTAATGAACTATTCTATCTCAGGTTCTAGTGGTCGTCCAGGCTATAGATGTTGGCATGAAGAGTCTATATTTTCTACAGCAGGTCCTAGTGGTGATCAGGAGGTTCCAGTAGTCCACTAAACGGTTGTGAACATGGGCAAAGAAGATACTAGTTGTCCCGAGAGAGTTGAAGTTCTGCATATTGTTGGAGTCCAGACTCCAGCCCGTTCCAGTAGGCTTCTGGCCAACCAATTTGTAGTTCTAAGTGATTTGTCTGTCCTGGATTTTGTCTTATAATTGAGTACTGCAACTGTTTGTATCGTTTCTTTCATGACCTATTTGTTTTTTTATTTCTGTCATTGTGGTCTTAAAGTTTCATGTGTTTCACTGTGCTATTATAAAAACCTGCCTTGGGACTATGGCTGAAAACTAGCATTTATGCTAAGTCCGGCGCATTTACACCGTTTATTCTTATGTTGATTAATATGCACTGTCCCAACGAAATAAATAAAAAATTAAACTGCAAGGTTGTAAATGTGGACATTAAGAGGGTTCTAGAGGTGGACTATTTGGTATAGAACAGGGATGGCCAAGTACGGTCCTCAAGATGCCCTATCCAGTGGGTTTTAGATGTCTCCCTCCTCCCACATACTTCAAGTGATCTGCTCATCAGCAAGCTCTGAGAACCCTGACAACGATCCTGATCATTCGAATCAGATATGTTGGAAAAGGAAGACATCTAAAATAGACCGGAGAGCGGATCTCGAGGACCGAACTTGGGCAGATTGTAGTGGTGATTGAGATGATTGTGGTAGTTGACGGAGGAATCAAGAAGGTTCTAGAGTTTGTCCAGGTTAAGATGTTCCACAACAACTTGTAGTGATGACCAAAGCAATTACAGTATTACACAACAAAGCTGTAACCAATGGCCATTTAGAAGTTTGGAGAGTCTCTCTGGGTCTATTTGTCCTATCACAGGTCATTGTGATGATCAGAGAGGTTCTGGTAGGCCACTACAATATTGTGGATGAAGGAATTAAGATTCTATAGTTTTTAACAGGTCAAGATGTTCTATACCAGGTTCTAATGGAGATCAAGCTTGTTCCATTAGTGCACTAAAAGGTTCTGAATTTGGTCATTAAGAATGGTTTTGATGTTCAACACAATTTTGTAGTGATGGTTAATGGGCTTCTAGTAGTGTTTTATGGTTCTAATTATTATTGTCATAATATTTTGCCTGTGGTTTGAATTCATGTCACACATTGTTTTTTTTTCATGCTTTGTTTTGCATTTGACTAAGTGGCTCTTTGCGCTGTGCTATAAATAAATCCTCCCTGTCGTCTGTTGCAGGTGGGACCGCCGCCAGAAGCCCACCTGCTGCCGCGTCATTGGCTACTGGGTTCTGGAAGTGTGAAAGAGGCGGAGCTAAAGAAGGAGGTGTGGAATTAGCCGTGCGGAGGACAAACAGCGGGAGTCAGGATGCGGAGGAAAAGATATGGATGCAGGCGAGGATACAGTGAACCGAATGTAAGCCTTCTTTTTGAAACATACTGAAAAAACTGATGTGTGAATCTCAGATATTTTGGAGGTGAGAGTGTGTTGAGATAAAGTGATGACATGTCAACTGTTTCAACTGCTAGGTTGACAAGTACGGCTCAGCACATTCGACACCTTCAGTCATCCTCCACCAACATGTGCTGTAACAGATGACATGTCGACATATGATAGAAAAAACAAGGTCATCCTACGCTAAACAGAATATACAGGATGCAAGATGTCCAAATATGATTCAACAAAAAATCTCATCCTTCACCAATCAGAAAATCCACCGACATGTGGAGACATACAATACATGAAGCAACACCTGACACGACATTGGGAGCATGATGCAACATGCTAGATTGTCTTCCCTCAACCAGAAAGTAGCCTGACACCACAATTATTGTACCAACGTGACTACACGATGATACAGAAGTGACAAAATGGGCATGATGATAAGAATGAGGTGGCCCAGTGGTCCAGTCATTCGCGCGTCGACCTCACAGTGCAGAGGTTGTGGGTTCGATCCTGGCTCCGGCCTCCCTGTGCGGAGTTTGCATGTTCTCCCCGGGCCTGCCTGATTTTTCTCCGTGTACTCCGGTTTCCTCCCACATTCCAAAAACATGCATGGCAGGCTGATTGAAAAACTCTAAATTGTCCCTAGGTGTGAGTGTGAGCGCAGATGGTTGTTCGTCTCTGTGTGCCCTGTGATTGGCTGGCAACCAGTTCAGGGTGTCCCCCACCTACTCCCCGAAGACAGCTGGGATATGCTCCAGCACCCCCCGCGACCCCTGTGACAATAAAGCGGATTGGAAAATGGATGGATGGATGAATGACAAGAATGTGTTTAAATAGACATGATAATATCAACATGACAAACTAGGCATGATGATAACAACATGACTAAACGAACATGGTATTACAAGCATGACTAAATAGATCATATACCAACATTGCTTAACAATCCGGATGATACCAACATGACTAAATAAGCATGTTAGGTCAACAAAGAGCATGGCTGTGCCAACCTGACTAATGAGGCATGACGGTACTAACATGGCTAAATGGACATGTTGGCACCACCTTCAGGAAATAGACATTCTGGTTTGAACTTGACAAAACGGGCAAGATGGTACCAATGTGACAAAAAAAGGCATGACCGCAACAATGTGATTCAAAGTCCATGATTGTACAAACATCACTAAATGGCAATGACAATACAAATGTTTAAGAGGCATGATGATACCAACATGACGGAATAAGCATGATGGTATGAACGTGACTAAATGGACATGTTGGCTCGAGCTTGAATAAATGGACATGTTGGTATACCAGAGTGCCAAAATGGGCATGATTGTACCACAGCATGTTTTATGTAATAGACATGAGACGAAATGGACATTGTGATTCTTAACTTGACTAAATTGACACAATGGTACCACCCTGACTAAATAGGCATGATGGTACTAATGGGACCAAATTGACATGATGGCACTAACTTGGATAAATAGACATGCTGGTTTGAACTTGACCAAATGGGCATGGTCAAGTCAAGTCAAGTCAAGTACAAATTTATTGTCAAATGTAATTTCTTCCCTCTCAACCAGACAACAAGACAACAAGAGGAGCCGCTGCGGGTGCCCGCGCCGCCATCAAAAGAACAGTTAACATAAAATGACAAAATAATACAACACAACGAATAAGAAGACATGATGATACCAATGTGACAAAAGAGGCATGTCTGAAACAATGTGATTCAAAGTCCATGATTGTACCAACATCACTAAATTGATCTGACAATACCAGCAATATCAACATGACTAAATAAGCATGATGGTACGAACGTGACTACATGGACAGTGTGACTGTTGTGAACGACAACAAATTGTGTAGTTTGACAAGGCCTTGAATAGACATGATGGGATCAATGTTACTAAATGGTCATTGCGATACCAACTTGACAAAATCGGCACAATAGTACCACAATAATTATATAGGCATGGTATTGGTACCGCCCAACACATTCCAAATCTTAAATCATACTCCATCAATCTGGAAGTCCATCGAAAATATATTCTGAACAGCTTCAGAAAATATCTTACATCGGTCTGCACATGGTGCAATGACTCAAGACAACACAATACTGCTGTCTGTAATGATGAACTACAGTACTGTACTTTGAATGTACTTTATGCTCAGCCAACACACTCACGCTCTCACACATACAAAACTTCAGAGC